CATTATATTTATTTATATTTTAAAATAATTTAATTACAATTTCCATTATTTATATTATATTATTATTCATATTGTTAATATATTTATTCATTTAATGACATTTAATAATTTAATTCTATTTTAATGTTTATCAAACACAAGGCATGCTGTGGTTGCCTATAAATGTAAGAACAGTTAGATCTAATCTACCAGTGTATTGTATTGAAATGTTTAGCTGTATCTTATGTGGGTGATCCTATAAATAAATAAATAAATATGAACCAATCAGGAAAAATTCACTGTCATCAGTTTAACCGGTTATTTAATTAGAACTATATTGTTTAATTCCGCTACCACTAGTTTTTATTTTTGCATAGTTTTTACATAAAACACTAAGTACACCACAGTATTGGTCAAAGTTATCCCCGTGGGTTGCCCCCGTGGGTTGACCCCGTGGGTTGCCGAGGCTCGTATTGAAAACCAGCACTGTAGTGTCTGTGACACTACAGCATAATGTTGATAACTCATTTTCAACTTTATTTTCTCATTTTCCAAATATGCGACGCACGCACACACACACACAATTATTTCTGATTAAATTATTAAATTATAATATGCACTTTTTTTTGTATTTTCTTTATTTAATTTTTTTTTGTGTAGTTTTTTATTATAATTTTTTATCATATTTTTAATCCTTGTGTGGTTGTTGTCACATATTATGTAAAATAAACTTTCTTTCTTTCTTTCTTTGGTATGAGTATGACTACCAACACTCCAATATTGACTACCAGCAATATACCCAACCAGGTCGACCTCCTCGCGGTTCTCCCTGGAAACTATCATGGTTAATTCCTGATGAATTCATCATGATGGTCTAACTGGCCTGTTTTCATTCTCATCTATCACCCTTCACTGGTGCTCCGCCAGCGTATCCCGTTAGCGCAGGCGGGGTTACCATACCATTTTCACCCATTGAAAAATAAAATATTGACTACCTCTGGTTCTACGACCTTCCATATTAGCTATCAATCTCTTACTGCCACTTCGCTCACATACATGCACTAATCACATAACCAGTGATATGGCCTTCCGCAGGGTAATATTTATTTATTTAAACTTAAATGCACAGCAAAATTCTATGTACATTTGGCGGACTTAACACAGGACGGTGTTCTCTACCAGTCAACCATTGCGCAAACCGAGAAATACGTTGGCGGTGCATTTTTGAATAGAGGAAAAAATAAAGCAATATCTATTTTAGTAAAATCAGTTTTGAAGCTATAATGCCCGAGACAAATACACGCATATACATACGTTTCAAATGTACAACAGCAACCTTTGTGCGTTGGTAATTAAAAAAAAAAAATATCCCGAATCATTCAGACAGCTTTCTATTCTTAAGGGATCTTTGTTTTGTACGGTTACTGTCGAAAATCTTGACTTATCACGATATAACTGATTATCACGGAGTGATTTTGCAAGAAACATACTATCAAATAATGCGCCTTGTTCATCCGTACCTACGTATTGCTACAGTTGAGGGGGATATGTTGTAATTTTAACCGAATTTCAAAGGGCGTAGATTCTAAATTCGAATGTAGCTTTATTAATTTTTGTATATTATGAAATATCTACGGCGATGGTTATGTATTTAGGGTGTAGACGTTATTATATGCCATCTCTATTTTGCAATTTATAGGGTTTACTTCACTGTTTTTTCCTTAATAAATTGTCAATTTATTAGGGTTTAAATTGGTCTTCGAGTGATTTTAAAAAAAAGGAGGTTCACAATTAAAACGATTTCGATTTTTTTTTATCCGAAAGAATATACTTACAGATTAGTCTCGTGGAAATTTTCTTAAAATCGGTCCAGTAGTTTAAGTTTTAGACCTTAAAAACTGATTTTGTCACAATTGAAGTCGTTTTTTTTATTGTAGGACACAATCTTCAATTATTTTGGATCATCAGCATATATTAAATAAATAATAAAATAAAAAAATAAAAAAGCCTTTTATTTGCCATTATATATTACGAGTAGAAATTGATACCTTTTTCAAATTATCACTTTATAGTTTTATTATAATGCCAGCTATATACACGACATTTTGCAATCGGCAATTTTTTTTATAGCTCCCTGTAAATTAGATATTTTTACTTATCAACCGACTTCAAAAAGAAAGAGGCGCTCAATTTGGTTGTATTTTTTTGTGTATTACCTCATAACTACGTCAGTTATATTTCAATCTGCAAGATTTTTTTCGGATAGGATGTAGTTGTAAATTCGACCCATGGAATTCTTTTTAAAAATCGGTTCTATCATTTCGTTATTACATTAAAATATTTATAAATATTTTGGGTTTGCCACAAATAAAGTTTTTTTTTTTTGTGAAATTATGTAGACTGTGTAGAAATGTGTATTGTTGTATTATAATACTATAGACAAAGAGTAAAGAACACGTCCAGTAGTTGGTCAATCTAATCATTTAAGATTATGTTGCAGAAAAAAGAAACCTTTTTAATTATGGCAAAAAAAAACCAGTAGTTTTCATTTAAAAAGTAAACTATTGAACAGATTTTGATATAATTTCTATGAGACCAATTAGTATCTATATAGCTATATTCTTTCAAATAAAAAAAGAAAAAAAAATCCAAAAAAAGCAGAAAAATCCTTTCAGTCAAAAAAGAATTTTCTATATCCATTTACAACTGATGGAGTTATGATAAAAAAAAACACAATAAAATATTCTCCGAAACGATTCTACGAAACTCCTTCTTTTTAAAGGCGGTTAAAAAGTAGTATTATCATCTTGTATTTATCAACTTGCCGTATGTGCCCCGGCATAGATTGGGCCATCCCTCGCTTTCCCGTGGGTGTCGTAAAAGGTGACTAAAGGAGGGCGTGTAATGGGCAGCAGCGTCCCTCTTAAAATATCTCTAAAAGCCTAACCGCGGTTGCCAATCCGCCTGACACGCATGGCAACTACTGGCAAAACTCCCCTTATTGGGAAGGCTTATGTCCAACAGTGGACAGTTAATGTCTAAAACAATAATAATGAATAATAATTTATCAACTTCTTCACCATTATGTTTTCGTACACTTATTTAATGACATCCGAAACATTGATATTCTGTTTAAATGGAACTGAATGGCAATGTAAACAAATGAAAAGTCGATTTATCGGTAAAATAATTCGCTGACGTCCAATTAGTACAAATAAAACATTAATTAATTGCTTTAATATTTAGATTTGTTAACAATTTCACTCAGATACTGTTTCTATGATAATTTCAACAAAATTTTGTAACTTTTTGGTTAATTATTACTGAAATAGAACACAATAAATGGTGTTTTAATTACCGTGTGGTTCTTGCATAGAATAGGCCACCCCTTTCTTTCTTTGGGTGTTTTTTTTGATGGGTGAAAATGGTATGTTAACCCCGCTTGCGCTAACGGGATACGCTGGCGAAGCACCAGTGCAGGGTGATAGATGAGAATGAAAACAGAACTGTTAGCCCATCATCAGGAATTAACCATGATAGTTTCCAGAGAGAACCGCGAGGAGGAGGTCGATCTGGTTGGGTATATTGCTAGCAATGGGATTCTCAGTCTCCATTACTAACAATCCCTTTCCCCCCTTTCTTTGGGTGTTATAAGAGGCGACTAAGGAAGGAGATAAATGGCAGCGTCCTTCTTAAAATATCTCCAAAGTATAACAGCGGTCTCAAATCCGCTTACTAAGTATGGTAACTACTGAGAAAACCCCCCAAGGGGGAGGCTTTTATTTTGTAATGGATGATAATGGAATGGTAACCCTGCCTGCGCTATCGGTATACACCGGCGGGGCACAAGTGAGGGATGGTAGGTGAGGATGAAGCAAGTCAGTTAGCCTACCGTGACGAACCTAACAATAAATCAATCATAACGGTTTCCGGGGGGAACCACAAGGAGGTCAACCTGATATAGTATATTGCTAGCAATGGGGCTACTAATCCCTATTGCTAACAATTCATTCTCCCCCCAGGGGGAGGCTTATGTTCAATAGTGGACAGTTAAAGGCTGATATGATAATGATGAATTGGTATTTTCAATCAACGGTTACCATTTGGTTGAGGCTTAAAAAAACCTCAAATGTTGTGTTTTCGATTGTGACTGGCACTGAAAGTTTGTCAATTTAAATTCCCGACAAACTCCCCGGCTTAATAGTATTAGTTTATATATATATATATATATTATACTGTAAGCTCCCCAGCGATGGACGCCCCTAACGAATCTAATTAAACCGATAGACGCCTGCACGCTCGCCACCTACCACGTCGGTTTTAATACTAAATATTGGCAAGTCTAATTTATTTATTTATTAAATTTACTTACATGTTCATCACAACGACACAGCAGCGAATATAATGCTTTGGTTGTATTATCATAATTATATTTGCTTTTATTTTATACTAGCTGTATCCCGCGGCTTTGCCTGTATAAATCAGTACATAAAGTATTCTACCCGTGTCTCAAATTTCTTTCAAATCTGTCCAGTAATTTTTGCTTGAAAGAGTAATAAACATTAATCTATCTACCCATCCATCTTTGCCAAACTATTGTATTATTTTGAAATCTATTTTTTTATATATATTATTGTACACACAATCCAGCACTGAACTATGGACGAGCGTCCTCTGGTGTCGAAATAAAACAAAACCAGTGATGTTGGATCGTTGTACATGAGAAAGTTCTTTTATTCCAATAATAATACATGTATTTAGCCTACGTAACAAATCAAATTATAGCGCCGTCTAATTTTTTGGCAGCGCCATCTGTTTTAACCTTAGATACTAAGCAATTTTATACAAACTTATACATTCCGCCCACCAAGGACATAATTTTGTCCTTCACATTCCAAACCGCCCACCATGCTTATAATGACAAAAATAAACTAACAATTTGGCGGCAAGGGCTAATGCTTATTATCTTATTAACTAATAAGTGTTGATACAGCTTAATAACTAATAGATAACAATTTTATTCAGTAACTGGTAACACACATAATTTGGATGCAGGGCGTTTGAATACTGAATTCTGATGGGCCTTTAATTGTACTGTACTCTTTATTTCTATTAATATGCGCTATCTCTTCACTGAAACTTTGCATTTGACAAACCTTGATACATGTTTCTAAAGCACCAGATAATTCCTTAGTTGAAAGAAAAGCAGTGTTTGATCTCTCCTGATTCTTCCGCCGGTTCAGAAAACGTTTACAATACGCGACCACTCGAATTAATTTTGTTAAAGAATTATACCGATCCCAAATTGTAGTTTCCGTGACACTTACGTGAACTTTACATTCTTCTAAATGTGTAACAATGCTCTTCGGCCTTTCGTATTGCACTTCGTGTTTATATAAAAACTCCGGTCCATTGAACCATCTCGTATTTTGCCATAAATCCAATGGACTAACTCCTCGTGACGCACAATCGGCAGGATTTTGACTTGAAGTTACATGTGCCCATTGTTGAGAATCTAAAGTTGACAAAATTTCGGATACCCTGTTAGCAACAAAAGTTTGCCATTTGCTCGGATAGCTATTCAACCACGCTAATACTACCGTAGAGTCTGTCCAAGCTCTAATATCAGTCTTCGATACACCTATAATCTCTGCTATTTCGACTAATAGTCGAGTCAGAAGCACTGCACCACATAACTCTAATCTAGGAACTGAAATTTGTTTGATTGGTGCAACTTTAGTCTTAGCAGAAACCAAAGAAACGTGGATATTACCCTGTTCATCTATTAATCGTATATAAACTACAGCTGCATACGCTATCTTCGACGCGTCTGAGAAGCCATGCAATTCGACTTGTGAGGATGTGAATTGAGATCCATACCATCTTGGTATATCAATTTTCTTCAATTGAGACAAGCCTTTGCGGTAAGTACACCACTCATTAATTATATTATTTGGAATTTCATCATCCCATCCTACTCCTAAAATCCAAAGCCTTTGAATTAATACCTTTGCTATGATCACGCTAGGAGCTGCCCAACCTAGCGGATCGAATATTTTTGCTATTTCCGAAATAATCTTTCTTTTTGTTACAGGCCCAGATTCCGGAGGAAGATTTACCGAGTACCGAAAGACATCTGCTGATCGATTCCAGGTAAGTCCTAAGAGTTTAACTACTTCATCTAATTTTAGCTTGAACCCTTCATGTGTTTCTTCCTTTCCTTGCTTGATTTTATTTAACAACTCCTCACTATTAGTCATCCACTTCTGTAATTCAAACCCTCCTCTTCGTAATAGCTCATTCATTTCTTCATAAATAATAGCACCTTCTTCTACTGTATCACACCCCGTCAAAAGATCATCCATATAAAAATCAGTTTTTACCCTTTCAGCTACATTTGGATAGTTTATACCTTCGTCTACTGCAGCTTGTTGCAGTGTTTTCACTGCTAAGTAGGGAGCAGCCGCCGTACCAAAGGTAAGTCTTTTTAATCTGTAATCTTGTATTTGTCCATTTTTATTATTATACCAAAGCACACGTTGGTAGTCTGCATCTTGATCATACACTTTGACTTGACGGTACATTTTGTTAATATCAGCAGCTAGGACTATTTTAGGTTTTCTCCATCGCATGATTAAATGGCGTAATTCAGGCTGCAGTCTTGGCCCTATCATTAAAATGTCATTTAATGAAACGCCATTTTCGTTTTTTGCAGAAGCATCAAATACGACACGAACCTTTGTCGTATCCTTGTTGTTGTTAACGACCGCGTGATGAGGTAAGTAAAAACTTAATTGATTACTCTTTTCTGTTTCAGGTATCTTCTCCATGTGACCTAACCGTAAGTACTCATCCATTACCTCTATATATTTTTCCTTCAGGTTTTTATTTTTATTTAATTTTATCATTAATCTATTTAATCGTTTAGCAGCTATTTCTCTAGAATCTCTCTTTATCTGTTTACGATTTTCATACTTAAAAGGAAGCTTCACGATGTATCTTCCAGTACTATCTCGTTGTGTGGTCTCCATATATATTTGTTCACAAAAAGTTTCTTCTTCTGTCAAAATTCGTTTTGATGAATGAGGATCATTCTCGATCTCCCAAAATTTCTTGAGGAGATTATTGTCATCTGTACATAAATGCATGGCTACAATATTAGTATCTGAGTTAGATATCTCATCGACAGTCCCAGAAAGTATCCATCCCAGTGACGTAGCTTGAGCTACTAGTAAGCCTCGAGGTCCCCGTTTTAACCCATCTTCAATAATTTGCCCATACACTTCAGCTCCTAACAAAATATGTATTTTGTTAGGAGTATGATATTGTGGATCTGCTAGCTGAATTCCATTTAAATCTAACCAGTTTAATTCAATTACCTTTTTGCTTGGTAGTAACGTGGTAATTGTTTTTAATACATACGCCTGCACATTAATTACTATTTCAGGTTTAACACGTGAACGTACCTTTAGTTGAACCATGTATTTGACAGTTACATTCTTGTTTCCATCCAGACCAGATATAGTCCCTCTCACTGGAATCTTCTTAACTCCCAAATACTGAACAGTTGATTCTGTAACGAAGGATGCTTGCGATCCTTGGTCAAGCAATGCCCTTATCAATCTTCTCTCATTATTATAAGCATCAACTTGTATAAGTGCAGTAGCTAGCAACACTTGGCTATGAGCTGCCATTTGACCCGTCGAAAAACATGACACTACATTACTAGATGACGATTCACCTAAAGCCGTTTCAACTTTATCGTCGTTAGTTACTAATTCAACATTACTTGATGTATTGACAGAACTTGAGATCTCAGGACGTTTTTTACCAGTTGGATGCAAGAGGGAGTGATGCTTTCTTTTACAAACTTTACAACTAACAGTACTCTGGCAAGACTTGACAGAGTGGTTGCCGCCCAGGCAATTAAAACACAGACGATTTTTTGCCACAAATTCGTAACGATTACTGTAGTCTAATTTTGCAAACTTCGTACAAAAGCATAATTTATGAGGTTCGGAACAGAATTCACAAACTACATTAGTAGTCACATGCATACAAGTTTTTGTTTTAGGAAATGATCCGCTATTAGGAATTGAAGACTTCTGCCTCGGTTCTATACATTCTAGAGCTCTAAATCTACTTTGTAGAAACTCAGAAAACTGATTGTAAGTAGGTAGATCGTTTGAAATTTCAGCAGATATCTTCAGTTCCCACTGTTTGCGTGTCTCTTGGTCTAATTTATAATTAACAATATGTATTATAATGATGTCCCACGAATTTACATCTACTCCAAGATTTTTTAAGGCGTGCATACAATCAGTGGTGGTATCTAATAAATCTTTTAATGCGGATGCCGATTCATTATTTGAAGACCTTTGGCTAAATAATCTCTTTAAAATACAATTAGCTAAATATCGTTTGTTATTGTATCTATTCTCTAACTGTTCCCAGCACTGTTTATAATTTGCAGATGTTACTGGAACTTGTCTTATTAACTGCTCCGCTTCTCCAGTCAAATGTCCTTTTAAATAATGTAACTTTTGAACATCATCTAATGACTCATTGGAATGAATTAACGATACAAACATATCTCTGAATGTTGCCCATTCTATATATCGTCCGGAAAATGCTGGGATAGTAATTTTGGGTAATTTGACTGCAGAAGAGGATCCATTATTGGTCTTAGAAGAACCGGAACCTTTATCATCACTTGTTACTTTATTCTGATTAAATGATTTTAAATATTTTTTAAGTAAACTTTTATAATCCACAAACATTTCCTCAGTTTTCTCATACACATCTTCTTTAATATAGAAACTACGCTGTATATCTTCCCATTTATATTCCTTAATTATTTGCTGATGTGTAGTAATAAACTCAAGCCATAACTGTTCTACATTATCAAGTTTTGTTTCTACGTAAGACTCTGTTATTCGCTCTTTAGGAGATTTTTTAAAGTTTATTTGAGCCTTTGATATTCTATTAAAGATATCCTTTTGACAATTTAATAACCCCTCCATATTAAGTAATTATTAAACTGTAATTAATAAAATTTTAAAAATATCTGCTATCGCATTCACACCACAACACTTACTGCTACTGGTCCGTCACACCATGTGACGTTTCTGTTTTTCCTCTGACGTCGCTGGTACCTCCAACCTCTAGCTCCAACGCTGTCTCGCTCACTCCTTGAGCAGAGCCAAGCAGTACTGATGCAGATGCACCCGAGCAGCGATCCACTGCCCCTACTATGTTCTATCTTCAGCCTTTCTTACCACCCAACTCTGGGGAAGATTGGCCTCCGGCTCGAAGGACCAAAATGTGTACACACAATCCAGCACTGAACTATGGACGAGCGTCCTCTGGTGTCGAAATAAAACAAAACCAGTGATGTTGGATCGTTGTACATGAGAAAGTTCTTTTATTCCAATAATAATACATGTATTTAGCCTACGTAACAAATCAAATTATAGCGCCGTCTAATTTTTTGGCAGCGCCATCTGTTTTAACCTTAGGTACTAAGCAATTTTATACAAACTTATACAATTATTTTTTTATACGTAAATAAATATTTAAAAATGTTTTTAATTAAGTTTACTTGAATAAAAAATATTCTTATCTTTTAATTTTATCATTTATAATGTTTTTCCTCAATTAAATCGATTTACATTTACCAGAGGGAGGAGACTTTGGATAAATGTCATAAGCATGGTTACCTTAGTCTCATTCAAATTCCTGCTGTGAATCAGTAGCTTGTGCAGTACAGCAGTGCTTGCATGGCTGTGTTGCGATTTAAAAGGTAATAGCAGTGAAACTACATGATATAAAGGCAAAATACCGTACTTTTTAGGAATGGCAACTCATGAGATTTACCATCAGAATAACATTGTAATCTATAACACCCATGGTACCGTTCATGTCTATAGATGATGTTTACCACTTTCCAGTACTATGGGCATAACAGATTTTTCTGTTTCGTCCATGATACTCTCTGTGCAATAAGGACCCTGCCAAGATATACGAAATCCTTACTGCACGTGCTGCGATGACACAACACTACAAAAACAATATATATTTATGGTGCACAATACCTTGGGTTTCATCAGATCCTTTAATAAGTAACAAGGAAGTACCGCGTGTGGGTGATGTACAGTGTAAAATGCGATGTGTAATAAAATGTGGTACTTCTCTTGTTTGTAGCTAGATTCCACGCCAGCCCAATGACGCCGGTTGTAGTTTTTCAACAGTGCACACACTATTCATCTAATTTCACGCCTTTTTTAACAAAGTACGCACGATTTATTAAATTTCACCACCTTTTTTACAAATATAAAACCTTAACAAAAAAACACAAATCCCCTTTTTTTGGCGGCAACCATAGCACCCACGCGCATCGACAATCCGTCAGACTTAATAATAAAAAAAAGCGATATGACAGATATAGACAATCACAGTGACACAGCTGTCAAATAGTGCTTGCCACTGTGATTAAATACTGAATATTAATAAACTAAACACTCTCCGTGCATTCCTGAGGACTCAGGTGTTATACCTCTGTACCCTGTAAATTCACTGTCATATCCAAGTTTATTTTCAAGTTCCCTCTGATATACTCATTGATAATCCTATTCACGTATGGTGTAACAAGACACCATACGTCCGTCGTCGTCTTTCGTCTGTTATCATTCATTAGTCTCAAAACATATATGTCTCAAAATAACACATATATTTGTGTGTGTGCTATATTATTTTATGCAATTTAGAATAGCAATTAAGCTGACGACCTACCTGATAGAAAGGTACGTCGTCGTAGGAAAAGTGGTAATCGTCGCTTATAGATATGAACATCACCGTGGGCGTCACAGAGTATATTGTGTCGCTTATGACACCACACCCATATCTCAAGTCATTTTTAAGTGTCTAAAGGTATATAAAAGAACACTATCTTCACAAAAAAGCGACTTCAATAGTGAAAACACGCAATGATGGAACGCAAAATGTTTTGTAGGGGAGGAAAGGGATTGTTAGTAATGGAGACTGAGAATCCTATTGCTAGCAATGTACCCTCGATATATATCGGTCGACCTCCTCGTGGTTCTCCCTGGAAACTATTATGGTTAATTCCTGATGAATTCATCATGATGGGCTAACTGGCCTGTTTTCATTCTCATCTATCACCCTTCACTGGTGTTCCGCCAGCGTATACCGTAAGTGCAGGCGGAGTTACCATACCATTTTCACCCATCAAAAAAAAATGTTTTGTAGGTACCTTATTTAAAAAACATCTGAAATTATATAGCGGAATTGTGTGCCTATAAATAGGATTTTTCCCAATAAGAAATTTTATATTTCACAAAAAAGGCAGCTTCGATCGTCACAGCACTAGTACGAGACAATAAATAAATCTTGTTACAAGTTTTTATTGAACTTGCAATGTATGTAAACACAGTTAACTAGTTTGTTTGCAAGCTAAATTAGTACCACTTACTGACTTTCGATTGAGTTGAAATTTCGCGTACAAATTTAGATTTTGTGACAATATAATACGTAATACGTAATGTAGTGATACGTTCAAAATGGCCACCACCACAAGATGGCCGATGGCCAAGGTATTAAATTTGATAAGTATATTAATTATCATCAATCATCATCATATCAGCCTTTAACTGTCTACTGCTCCATAAGGGTTTATATATTTTTCTTTTTATTCTAAATTAAAAGTAAAATAGTAATGTTATTATATAATTGTGTAATCTGCATTATTATGTTGTTTTGTTATATATATAATTTATATTATTTTTCTTAAAGAGCGATTGCATTTAACTAGTGCTATTATTTAAATAAAAAGTTTGTTTAGTGTATGTGTAGATAAATAAATAAATAAGATAAGCGTGGCAAAATGGCAAACCCCCCCAAAGGCTGCCAGTAGTTGGCACGCTTGGCAGGCGGATTGGCAACCGCAGTTAGAATTTGGAAATTGTTTAATAGGGGCGCTATTGCTCATCTTTTAGCTTCCTTTGATTGACTCTTGCGATAGTCACGGGAAAGGAAGGGGTGGCCTATTCTATGTCGAGGCCATACAACCGAGTATGTTAATATGAGTATCAAATGAAAGGGTTTGTGGAGTAGGTAACAAAAAAAAAATAAACGATATTATTGTAAAATTGACGCAGCTACAAGATGTGGGACTATATTGCCATCAAACCAAATTTTTTTACAAAAGTCGATTGCTTGGGTACCTCTGTCCCATTCGTGTTTCTACCGTGAAACAGCTGTGTTTGCGTGGCTGTGTTTTGGTTTGAAGGGTGGGATATGGCGTGAATTTACTGGGTACAGAGGAATAACACCTGAGTCCTCAGGAATGGCAACGCATGGGGGGTATCATGGGCGAAACAGTATACTCTGTTATGTCCATGGTACTGCTCATGTCTATAGGCGACGGTTACCACTTTCTATCAGGTGGGCCGTCAGCTTGTTTGCCATTCTAAGTTGTATATAAAAAAAAAAACACTTGTTTTACGATTATTACATAATGATATCCTTACAATTTGCTCACCTCCGAATACTTTTACGTGCCTTAGTGTGATGTTATTGAATCGGAGAAAAGGAAATGTCATTTTGACCTTTGCAAAATACAAATCGAGTACGAGTAATCTCAATTTTGATAATTCTACAATATAATAAAAAAATCTTAGATAATATAGACAAGCATCTTAAAAATGGATCAAATTTTTCCCACCTAATTGTCAAATTAGCGGGGGAGAAGGGATTGTTAGTAATGCGGATTATCAGTTCCATTGCTAATAATATGCCCCAACAGGTCGACCTCCCCGTGGTTTCCCCTGGAAACCATCGTGCTGAATTCCAAGTGTATTCATCACGATGGGCTAACCCACCTGCCTTTTCATCCTCACCTATCATCTATCACTGGTGCCCCGCCAGCGTATACCGTTAGCGTAGGCGGGGTTACCATTCTATTCTCAAACATTAAAAAAAAAATTGTCAAATTAGCTAACAAAAAGTTAAAGTAAGTACATGTTTTAATCAATTTGAAAAAAAAATTAAATTGGGCTCTATTTTTTGTAAACATATTACGCAATATTTTCCCCATCCATTTTCATTTACTACACTCTTTTTCTATTGTATTGGGAAAATTCTGATTGTGCAGAAAAGCTGCATACATGCCATATGTAATATTGCACTTGATGTTCCATGTAGACCTTGTTTCAAGTATCTGAATACATTACCTGTTCCCAGTCTTCATATATTTGAAGACTGGAAACAGGAATATAGCCGGTATTTGTTAAATTAAATAAACACATGTTCACAGAAGTAAAAGAACAAATACAAAAAATCAAGTTAACCTCAAAAACGAATTACTAATTTATATTATTATGTCTAAAACAAGCTATTTATTAAAAAGAAAAATCTTATATATGTGTTTAAAAATCTTTAATAATATTTCTTTAGGTATAAAAAAATTTTCTAGAAATAAAATTTAAAATTAATTTTTCCTGAATGCCTAGTTGACAATAGTTTTTATTCAGTAGAAGAATTTTTTAAGAAGGATTGATAAATATCTAGTGTAGTTGGTGTTGTCGATGCATGAATTGATCAGTTCCTACCAAAATATTATATGTACATAGCATTCTGTAAGAAAGAATCTCACCAGAGGGAGACTTTGTACAAAAGTCGATTGCTTGGGTACCTTTGTACCATTCGTGTTTCAACCGTGAAGCAGTTGTGTTTGCATGACTGTGTTTCGGTTTGAAGGGTGAGATATGGCGTGAATTTACTGGGTACAGAGGAATAACACTTGAGTCCTCAGGAATGGCAACGCATGATGGGGGTATCATGGGCGAAACAGTATACTCTATTATGTCCATGGTACTGATCATGTCTATAGGCGACGGTTACCACTTTCCATCAGGTGGGCCGTCAGCTTGTTTGCCATTCTAAGTTGTATAAAAAAAAAAACTTTTTTTAACATGAAACCACGGGTACCTACTCTATTCAAAGC